GCTCTTACTTAAAACTATTTCAGTGTTATTTATTCATCCATCATATTTTGTTTGTATTGTATACAGAATTCTAATGTCATACATAATAATTTCCCTAATTAGTTTTTATTTTCAATTGTGAAATTACACTATCAAAAAGCTACTAAAATTTCAAATTTTCTTCCCCAAATTTTAAACTTCATAACCCATTTTTGAGGTCTAATTATATTAGCTAGTATTTCCAGAAAAAGGTTACATAAAAGTAGTTACTATGGAAATGACTTTCTGAGTAACAGTTTCATTATTATTTTTATAGGATCTGATATAATGTCATATATGTAAAAATATGCTGCACGTATGTGTGTATGTGTCTGTGAGTTTAATTAAGGGTATTGTGAGTGAAGATTATATATTCAAAACTTTTACTGTGAAAGAAAGTCAATGTCTGAGGAACCAGCTATAAAAGTAATGCCATCACAGTGTTAATCTCAATTCAAACAGAAGAATCCAGCCTCATAGGTTGTACTTTTCCTTTTAGCCCACCATTGTCTAACAACCTGAGCTTCAGACAATGTATCTTTTTCAGGATAGAAAAATTTGATTTCTAGAAAATAATGAAGTGCTTCTCCTTATGCTTTCTAATTTTAGGAGAGACAATGACAAAGGAGGGGAGGGAAACAAAAACATATTCTAGGGCAACACAACATAATATCTACATTATGTAAAATATAATCAAAATATAAAGAAGCAGGAAAATATCAACCATTTGGGAACAGAGGCCAACCTTAAGGTAAAGTGGATGTTGGTATTATCGGATAAAAGATTAAGAGACATGTAAATGTATTGTATACCCATAATGTACCACTAAAAGAATTTTAAAAAAGATATATTATGACTGAGTTCAATGCTTAAAAGAAAGTAATCCTCATAATGAATAAGAAAAGGAAATCTCAGCAGAGAAAAACATAAAAAGTATCAATGGAAAAATTGAAATAAAAAATAACTGATTGTCTTAACAGCAGAATTAAGATGCGAGGGACAGGTAAACTAAAGACAGGTCAATAACAATTACCCAATCTGAAATTCAGAGGAAAAATATATTGACATAAATAAGTGAACAGGTTGACAGATATATAACACTAAAAGTTCCAATAGACAAATGATGATATCATAGAAAGACAATGAAGGAGAAAAAAGCGTATTTAAGGAAAGAAATAACTAAAAAATTTCCAATTTTTATGAAAAACATAAATTTTTAGGTTTAAGAAGTTTAGAGCCAGGTGTGCTGGTGCATGCCTGTAATCCAGGCATTCTGGGATACTAAGGCAGGAAGACTGCAAGTTTTGTGCTCAGCCTTGGCAACTCAGTGACTTAGTGAGACAATATCAAAATAAAACTAAAAAATTAAAAAATGAAAAGGGCTGGAGATTCATCTCAGTATGAAAGCTCTGGGACCAATTCTCAGTACCAGAAAAACAAAGTTCAGTAAAACTCATCACAGAATAATAAAGTTGAAGAAGCCAAGGTTAGGTAAAACACCACTAACCTGCCGAAAATAAGAGATATAAAATATTGGTTGGAAACAACCAGAAGAGAAATAACACATTATGTACAGGTAAAGCAATATTGAAACCATAGAAGATTCTTCACTCACAACATATGGAAGCTAGACAAAACTTCATTATTTTAAAAAACTAAATGGATTACTATTGAGTCAAAGAACAAAATCATGACATTTGTAGAAGAATCAATGGAACTGGAGATCATCATGTTAAGTGAAATAAGCCAGACTCCGAGAAGCAAGTATCACATATTTTCCCTAATATGTGCAATTTAGAAAAGAAAGATGACATAAGAGAGACTATTAGACAAGAGGAAGGGGGTCAGGGAGAAAAGGAAGACATATATAAGGGAAGGTAATGAGGGGTTGGATATGATCAACATATTTTATATGCATGAGTGAGAATACCACAGAAAAGTCCAATATTTTGTAAAATTACACTAATAAAATGTAAAAACAATGCACAAAAAACACAAAAAGTCAGCTCAGAAATCCAAATGTACCAAAAATAGCCTTTAAGAATGAAGACAAATTAGAGAAACACAAATCAAAACTACATCGAAGGTCCATCTCATGTCAATTATAATGGCCATTGTGAAGAATACAATAACGATAAATGCTGAAGAAGATGTATGGAAAAGGAGCACCCAGACTCTGTTGGTGGAAATGTAAATTAGTACAGTCACTATAGTCTTTTTTTTTTTTACAGTACAATTCAAAAGAGTTAAGACATGAAACAGCTTGGGATCACACAATAGGGTATTATTCAGCAATAAAGCACAAAATTATTCCATTTATAGGAAAATGCATCATGCCAACCTAAATAAATATGCATGTACAAATATGTCAAAATGAAACTCATTCTAATATATGCTAAAATTGCACATGATTAATTGACGTTGAAGTTGAATGAGATATACTATTCAATTTATGTCAGCTATTTAAATTTTTATGTAATAAAACACTTTTATAAAAGAAAAAAGGAATTCAGAAAAAAGATGATATTTAGATTAAGAAAGCTAATTGAATTAATTTCCTCTAGACATACATGAAATTCTAAAAAATATTCAAAATAAAATAATAGGAATACAAGAGACTTTTTCTTAATTAAATAATACACATGAATATTAAAAGCAAAAGCCATGACAATAAATTTAGGCATATCAAGTGATAACTACAGCATAAAAGACAGTGGAGTAAGACAAAGAGATCTAAATGGTTACAAGCTTTCCATATTTTATGTGAATTGTTATAATGTTAGCTCTAAAAGACCTTGAGTATTTAAGGAACTATACTGTAATCTCTGGAGCAACCAAGTAAAAAGTGAAGATAAAAAAATGTATAAACTCAGATGGAATTTTATTTAAAATATTCAAATAATTCAAAAGAATACAGAAAGGGTAAAAAGAAAAACAATAACAATATGATAGAACCAATAGAAGACAAGTAATGAAACAGTAGGCCTATATTCAAAATTGTCAGTAATTACATTTAACATTAATGAACTAAACATTCTAACACTAAGACTGGATAAAAACACCAGACTCAACTATATGCACTCTATCAGAAACCTAATAGATGCCCAATAACAAAACCTCAAAATACATTAAGCAAAAATGGGCAGAAAAATGTTAGAAACAGGCAAATCTATAATTATGTTAAAAAATTTTAATGCTACTATCTCAATATTTGGTAGCACTAGACAAGTATCAGTAAGATCACATAAAATTGAATAAGTGCTCTCAATCACCTTTCCCTATTTGATTTTTAATAAATATAAATCAGAAGTGAACAGAATGACAAAAAATCCATTATAATAAAAATATAACTCACCTTTCTTGAAATTTAAATATCAAACTAAAAATTGGCAAAAATTTAATCTACACAAATCCAACTTTAAATTTGACCTTCATAAGGCAGTTAAGAAATGTATGTTCTAAAAAAAAAAAAAAGAAAGAAATGTATGTTCTTCCCAAGAACACTTGGAATGTTGAGGACAACTGGCTATGCTTTAATTATAAAGCAAATCTCAGTAAATTTTATAGATCTAGTATCACATTACATTCTCTGGTTACACTCTTAGAATCCATCACACACAAAAAATGTTTAGATACTTGAAAACATATATCTAAATAACTCATGTGTCAAAGGAGAATTATAATAGGAAAAGGAAAAAATCCTTAAATTTAATATTAATAAAAATTTTATAACATTAATGAAATTATATGTAAGAGCATAAGATACAACTAAAATGGCATTTAGAGAATATTTTATTTTACAAAATAAAAATGACTAATACAAAAAGGAACAAAATAAACCTACAGAATGTAGATAGATACATATTGGATGTTTCTAGTATCAAAATTACTGGTACTTGCTTCTTATCTATGAGATGGTGATGCAGTAGGGATTTAATCTGATTTATATGTTATGAAAGACACAGATGTTGATGTTTTCAACAATCTGTGAATAGAGCTTTATTTCAACAGGAAAGAAGAATTATAGAAAACAACCCAAACTGATAAAGCAAAGATGAATGTGGTCAACACATGAAAGTGTTAAATGTTCAGTTGAGCTAAAAAAACCAAAACAAAACTGAATTTTGATATTACATGGAATTAAAAAGAAAATTTATAAATATATCATGTGATACATTTACATATAAAAGGCATGATAAATCAGGGAAATAAGGGAAAGGGAGTGCAGGGAACTTATCTTAGAAGCAAATAATTAATCCCGAGTGGCATGTATAGCAAATACCTACTTAAGGTTTCTTATAATGGCAACCTCTAAAAAAAGCATTTTAAGTAGGCATCTAAATGTAGAGGAATCACTTAGTAAAGCAGATTATGTGATAGTGAGTGATATGCTCAGAAACTATAAAGCAGAATGTGTAATTAACTGTTAGGTTTTGACCTCTCCCTGCTTACAAATAACCAAAGGTATGAGGCAAACATGGAATTTTTGATCTCCTCAATATACTTATCAAATGTAAATCCTTTCTTTGGATTAAAATCATCTTTTCATTATAGAAGATAAAAAGATAAATAAAACATATAATTACAACTACAGTTCTCATATTTTAGTAGAATAAAATGGCAAGAATGGAAATAAATGGAAGAATCTAGAAAACAAGACAGTACAATTAGTACAAGAATTAGTTTTGAAAGTCAGATCAGTATACTTCTGTTCTCTCAATTCCTATTCAACCCTTGAAACTGTCCTAATTTCCTATATATTATCACTTCTACCTTAGAAGAGATCCATTATCAACCATGCATTATCTAATTTTTGGTTGAGACAGCCTCTAAGGATAGCTTACAAAGTGAAGTGAGTTGGCAGAAAAAATATTTAGAATCAAAAACCTTTTTCTATTATATATACTGATACCACCACCCTTATTTCAAGTCAAGGCACTGTATCTCTAGTGTCTTATTTCTTTGGAAAGCATATATCTTACCATGTGGAATTGTGGTCTGGAAAGGGCGACTTGGGCTTTTCAGGTTCCATAAAGTCAAGCTACCATCTGAATGGCTGCACATGAACTGTTTGCCTTCATGATGCCAATCAATTGAATGAATAGCCTAATAAAATAATAATTAAAAACAAGTAGAATAGGGGAGGAAAGTAGATATGTTATATCACTCTACATTCCAAAAGAAAAATATTTTAACATAAAATTCTTATTTGAATAACATTTAAGAAAAATTTTTTCTGATCCCAATCAAACTGTCTTTGGCTTCAACTCTA